TAACCACTGCTCTACCTTGCAGCCCACTATGAACAGCATGTACATGACAAATATCTCCTGTTAGTGTGGAATAAACAGGAAATCAGGATGTTTGCCTCCGTGTTGTGCAGCCAGTTGCACATGGATGTAAGTGTTTAGCTCGCTGGACCCGACCTCAGGACTCCACTCAGACCTGGAAACAAAACTCATCCGTCTGTCTTCTGGGGATGTTTTCTAAACATGCTCACTACAGAAAGTATTCAGCAAATTATTTTTAATATAAAAAGCTCAACAAACAGTTTATAAGCAGTTATGGACAGAGCAGTAATAATTAACATTAAAATATGAAGCTTATGTCTGCTCCTCCAGCAGAAGCGTTAAAGGTAAATGAAGACTCAGATGAGATGCTGCTCTGCTGCTCTGCTGCTCTTCATCATCTTCATCAAAACCTCTCCATGTTTTTGTCTTTCAAAACCAAAACCTATCTACTCCCACATTATCCAAATAAAAGACTTCTCAGGTGGCTTATTTTTGAGTCCACTGATTGGAAAAAATGTTCATCGTTAAAATCCTGAGCAGAAAAAAACAAGTTTTGACTTCACATGTTCTTGTTTTGGATTCTCTGAAGAACCACAGAGAAGTGCTGGACGGGATGTGACTTTACATCCCTTTAATTATTTAACAACGTGACTCTCTGGCTTCAGTCTCCTTCAGTCGTCTCCATGTTTGGGTTTGAGCGAGGAGCAACCCGAGCATCCGTCGAGTCTCTTCTCCTTCATGTTGTAGTCGAAGCGAGGCAGAACGATGATGCTGCCGTCCGGCTCGCTTTTAGTGCCGTTGGTGGCCTCGGTCAAGGCCTTCTCTTCATCCATCGACATGATGCTGTTCACCAAACACGTGATGGCGGCGTCGATGTTGGTGTTGTCCTGGAGAGAAAGGACGAAGGTCGAGGGGTCAGAGAGGAAGGATGGAGGTCGAGAGAGAGAGAGACGACGGTAACGTTTGTCCATGGACCAATCTGTTCACAATGAAAAGCTGGGACAATGGATTAAAGCTCTTGGGTTGTAAAATAACGTTTCCATCTTTTCCTCGTCCAGACTACAAAAGTAGGGCAAAGGTTCGGGTTCGTTCACTCTGTCTCTCTGAGAAACTGTTTCCAGGGAGCCGAAACACACAGAAAAGGGTACGTTTTCAATTTAGCTGCACTGCAGAAATGTCAGATTTAACGCCAAACTCTTTAAAGGATGCTCGCGGTTATAAAAAAAAAAAAAAAAAAAGCAATTGTGGCTGTCAGTGCAGTGAGTGCATGTTAGTTGATAAGATGTCTAAAGTGAATCTGGCTGTCTGGATGTCATTACTGCTCATTAAATGTTGAAAGAGATCAAAAAGACTAATTTCAAGTGAGTTAGTTAAAGCAGAAGAACCCTCTAGAGGAACGTGTTCCTTGTGCCCAATTAAATATAACTCAGATAAAGGCTGAGTTACTGATCAAGACGAGGAAAGTGTTATTTACCAGAATGTCTGTTTACATTAAAAACAAGAGCGACTAGTTTGTGAACACACATAAACGACTGACACACTCGGTCAGAGCTGCAGTTTTTGCAGCGTGGCCCAAAGTGGACATGGTTTCAGATATTTATAAGACTGGTGATGTTCCATCAAAGTGTTCCATCAGAAGGAACACGTGATCAATAAAGACGTAAGAAGGCATTTAAAAGCAAAATTCTAGATCATCTTGTCTTGTCAGAGGAGACAAGAAAACTTAGGCAGCTGCAACTGAAGATTATTTTCATTTTGGATTATTTTGTTGGTTTCTTTTGACTGTCTTTGTGGACAATGAAGGTGACGTCTTCAAGGTTTCAGTTTGATAACATAAATTGATCTAAGCTGAAATCAGAGAAATTAATCGATTCAAAAAAACACCAACCATTGCAGCTCCGTGTTCAACTGTAAGCTAAGGGGAGAGAAGAGCTGGCATGAAAATAAGGGAAAGAAAGAGCAACTGATGAAGTCAAGTCAGGCTGATAAAGGATGTGAACACATGCAGCAGCAGCAGCAGTCTTCGCTAACACAGGAAATCAGCGCAGACAGCGAGACACCAACAGAAATGGAGGAAAGTCGCGTCTTGCCTTGGCAGAGGTTTCGTACCAGCCGACAAAGCCGTACTCCTGAGAGAAGTTCTCCAGTTTGGGCAGCTTGGGGCACAAACCGTGACGACGCTGGTCGCACTTGTTGGCCAATAGGACGACTGGAACCGACCTGCCGTTGCTCAGGGCAACCTGATCGAACCCGAGGAGACGGACGAAGGGAAAAAAAAGAAAATAAAAAATACAAATAACTCATCGTGTCAAAGAGTCCTGCAGATGATGGCAACGAATGCTGCCGTTTTACCAGTTTGTAGAACTGGTGTAAATCATTCACAGTAAAATTCTATCATGTCATCAGGTGTGTGGTCACTTTCTTTATTTCTTTTTTGTT